ATGTCTATTTGAAATTAGGAGGAGTTTTACACGTCATTTTATTGGTTAATTATTACCTGACACTTTGTGTTGCAAAATTCTTATATGATTATATATTATACTTCTTTTTAACATGAATGATTTTAAGAAACTTTTAATGAGCCTCGTCTAAAAAATCCAAGGTACTCTTTCTTCGTCAAAAATGTACAAATGCTTATAATTTATCTAAGTGTTACACGTTTGAATAATTTAATTAAATTCATTTCGATGATTTAATTTCTCTCGTCATATTACCATCTTAAATAGATCCATTTATCAATCTGAATTTATCAAAGTAAATGCCTTGGAAATTGTATGCAGGGTAATATCTAATCCTGCTAACGAAAGTTTGCGAATCGTAACAACTCGTAAATCGTAGCCTGTACCGATGATCGTTTGAATTTTGGCCACGTTTCGAGAAATCTGTTCCACATCTGAATGCAGGATCGCGCAGATGTCGCGCGACCGGCCCCCGTCTCTATTTATCCTTCGCGAATCGAAACGTTCGAGCTGAGAAACGTCAAGCAGGCAGCTCGAGGAGCGAGACGAGGAGCTCAGGTCGGTCTGAAGTAAAGCGTACAGCGTCGAGATGGAGAACCGTGGCGTGGCTTTAAGAGCGGCGCCGCACGGCCGCAAATGCGATTCGCCTCGGCGCGACGAACGTTTTGTCGCCAGTGATTGGCGTTTGAAAGGACAACCGCGTACAATGCAATTACCTTGGCCTTAACCGCTTTGCCCGACCGATAGGATTCGATTCCAGCATTGAATAAATATGCGTATAACGCGACCACGCTGACCACCGCGTCAGAACCGCGCACCGGTACTCCTCGCGCGAGTTTTTGTTTCGTCCACCGCGAAAGTATCGTACTTCTCTCCTTGCGCAACGCGCGACTTCCTACTTACGAGTTAACACGGAAACGAAATGGTTCTATTTAACCGTTTGCGTTGTTATTCAAATGGAAACTTTGGGGAACGTATGAATGTTCATTTTAATTGGCGTTCGTCGATTGGTAATCATTTATCGTCAAATTAAACATTCTTTTTAATTTTTGTCACTTAATTTGTCATTTGTAATTCTCTGATAATGAATTATTATAATTTTCGTCACTTGTGTAAGAATATCCGTTGAAATTAATATTTGAGTACATGACAATTATTATTAGTATTATTATTTAAAAGTAACAAAATGTATGAAAAAGGAAAGAATAATATTCACTGGGTAAATGGTAATTATGATAATAGGATCCAAGGTTATGTTCTAATATCGATTAATGAGATTAATATCTGTAAATGAGGAGTCAACTACATTGGCAATGTTGATGTGGATTACAATATAAATATTACAACATGAAAACATGGCAAGTAAGAAATTTATCGATTTCTGATGTTGATACAACAGTGAAACTTTTCACCACTAGAACTTGGAAAAGAATCTCTTTCGAAGAATCTCTGGAAAAGTGGTAGCTACAATATTGGACATTTTATATTTTTTATCGTGCAATTTTTAACGAGAAAAAAAATTGTAGTTATGCATTAATTCGCACTGTTATATTATTGTCGCCGAAGAAGACTTTCCCCGTTAAAACGAGATTTCTGCTAACTATCAAAAACACCCCGTATAATCACGCGGGACGTAACGAATCCTCGGTTTTTGCCTATTCCTCGTCGGTCTCTTAACGAACCATGAGATCGTATCTCGTTAAAGGGTCGCAGGTCGTCCCTTTCCTCTTCGTTCCTTCGCGCCTGAACTGTTTCGCAATGCCGCGCCTGACAAGGGAATTTCCCCAATGGGTTCGCCGATATTTAAATGAGCTTTTGCACGGTGATACAGCTTGAAATAGTGAAGATAATGATGTATGGTTCTGAGCGCCGGAGGTTAATACTTCGAAAGATATTTAAAATGTTAGACAAGTCTCGGAATATTAAAAACGCGCCTTTCTCTAACTTTAGATTTCTAAGACACGCAACTATGATCATTTAGAATATATGTAGCTTGTTGTTCGTTGTTTGAAGACGTACGATAATAAACAAATAAACAAACGAGTTAGAATATCTCGTTTTAGAGGAAAAATCCGTACGAATTGGCCTTTTTCCACTGCAATAATATCGCTCGCTACTTAAATCAAATTAACACATTCGCGACATATTTATAACATTAATATTTTAAAACAAATTTGGTCATTTTTATCTTCGTACTAACGAAACAAATTTGCTACTTAAATCTTGAATTTCGATATTTATTTTTCCACGAGTTCATTATACTCGGTATTCCGTGAAACCTATTGACCGAGTAAAAACAAATTCAACAGTATTACTGAAATACAAAGTTAACCCTTGTATAAACGATGCGAACGATCAAATCGTTACATCCAAGCTTCCATCGCTCTGCGCAAAAAATATAATAAACATGCACGAAAGTATCGAGAAAGTCTTCTTGCGAAAATGCTGCGCATCGACGTTCCGCGAATTTTCGAAAATCCCGTCGAGACTTTCACCCGTGCAAAATTCCCTCGAATCTCTTGCCGACGGGTAAGATCAGGGGCAAGGAGCCCCGCTGATCGCCGGGGGATCATTTTTCGCAGAAGCACCGCGCGCGTAATTTGTCTCTCTCTCTCTCTCTCTCTCTTTTTTTTTTTTAACAATGCCGCGCGGATAAAGACGCAGTCTCGACCTTTTAAAGCGCAATCTTTATGCCCGCCTCGCGGTAGATACGCGATAGCGTGGGCGTTATTGCCTTTAATGCCGAATCCGAGATGGCAAGGGGCCATCTGCGCGTCACGATTCCATGTCGTTTATTGCGCCAAAGTGGCGGTTCGAGGGCCTCCGTAATCATCGGATACATTCAATTTTTCGTAACGCCACACCGTCGATTATCGCGGATCTAATTAGCCCGATCAGTCCTCGTTGAGCAGCCGACCTCCGCTGACCTCCGCCATGTTGCGACTATAAAAATACCCGAAAACGAAATTCGCTTAATAACCATACTCCGCTTCCATCAGGCCACAGACTGCGCTCGCACATGTCGATTTCGTCTGATAACGCCTCGTGCACGGTTAGGGTAAAACGATCCGACGTATAACTGCGAGGATAACGATT